GCACCCAGTATCTATTGTTTCTGGATGTGCATGCTGTTTTTTTGAGTCTTCAGAAATGTACAGTTTCCCAAAATCAAAATGTATTTACAAGATGAAATGCATCACAAATGAATCAATGAAGTGTTGAGAGTCACTTGAATCAACACTTGTTCACAGTCCAAGAGAACTGAGACTTGTTCACGTTCACCTCCCTGGAGTTCCCCACATGGTCTGCTGCTCCCCTGCAGTGCCAGATGGGAAATGTTTAACGGTGCTACCAGAGCTTTAAATGTTCGTACATGAATCATAACCTCAGGAATAAATAGGTGTGAATGTGTAATTTAAAAAAGTATTTAAATGACTTTTTGATAGCCTACAGATTGCTGACGGCGAATGGCTAATAATAAAGTGGCTAACGTTAATGTGTGCCGCTGGGCAGGCTAACATTTATGTTAAATGTTTAATACTTTAATGATGTTAAAACAGGAGCTTTACTAACCTCTTGAAACTCCTCATAAAGACGGAGGTGTTGGTCCTGAAGATGCTTTGCCAAGTTTGTTGTGCTGCTCGACTTCAGCCAGCATGTTGTAGCAGTGTTTGCTCATTGACATTCTCAGTGTTGCTCTGGTTGTTTGCCTCGAATGGAAAACACTTCCAAACAGCACTTTTGCTTTTTTCATTTTCGACTCAAACTGGTGGCGAGGGCTCTGCAGCAGCAGCAGCACTGCCATGTGAGGTTAGCTTTATGCCGGCGACGCAGCCCAGCTGACGGTGATGTGCACAACAGCTGACATATTCAGCTGCAAGTGTAGGAAGTGGCTGAGTGTCAATGAGGAGGCAAAGAAGGCAAGTGGATATCATATCTAAATCTTATTGTCAATATCGATCAGTATCTGAGTATCAGTTTGCAGCTGCTTCCTGTTTGGTGCTGGAGAGAGCACAGCCATTGGTTGTTGACAATGTTCGTGTCACTGAACTTCAGTATCTGCATGAGCCAAGAATGGAAACAATATTAAACATGGTTGATTTTGTCAACTCATCCTCACTGTGACATGGACTTTCCACATATGACGTACAAGGTCCCCTGGGTGTGTTGGTTGTTGACCCTACTCACACTTTTGCTGCCGTAACTTTCGTTGATGTCCATGTTTCCCCAGATGCTGCCATGTGAAAGAACGTCTTTTTCGTCAGTATCTGACACAGGAAGTCACTGACCAAGCAGCGGTTTTAAACAACTTCAGAGGGAGTCTTGGTCGACAACTCTGACTCACACCTGGCTTTTTATCCAAAGCATCGGCAGCTGGCAGCAGATGGCGGGTTTGTTGATTCCCTGGAACTTTACAGTGACGCTTAGCGCCTCCTTTACCGAGTCCTTTTCCTCCTTCACCACTGCCTCTCATCTTCTCTGATTAGCACTGTGTTCCATAGATCTTATTTTCACGTCAATGAATTTGACCGGCTCGAGTTGCAAAGAGGGTTGTAGTGTTTGTGTTTTAAACCTGTTTAAATATAAGTTATTATATGGCTGTTTAAAACATTACGACCGGGAGTTGTTCCAAATTGTGGCCGTTAAAGAAAAAGTCTACCTAAACAGTTGTTGGTTATATCTGACACTCAAAGGCAGGTCACCAGCCGACTGATCGGTACGTCTCTAGTGCCTTTTCTGTTAACAACTGAAATTACCAATTCTCTCACTTATTCTCACTCTGACCGCGTCACATGTCACCATTTGGTCATAGACTTTCCCTGTCAACGTTATGGGAAGCGAACCCCAGCCTCCTAGGTGAAGGTTGGAGGTTGTTGGATCCATCCACCACCCACTTTATTTGGACTTTAGCCCCTTTACTTTGGTTGCTGTCCTGCTGCATTTCTCCCTGATGCAGCCACCGTCCACGTAAGATGCCAACGTGAAAGGATGACTTTTTCTGTCGGTTTCTGACACCGGAAGTTTCTGACCAATCAGCTGTTTTCGACGACGTCGGAATGAGGCTGGGTTGATTTTGTCAGAACGTCAAGTCAAGAAAAGGACTGATCTTTATGATCACCTCGCACCAAACCACCGAGAGCACAGGAGCACAACTCTTATGATTTTGGAGGAAATTCGTCTGCGACAGGGAAACTTCTTGAGAAGTTGTTTGGCAGACTTCACTCTAATTGCACACAGGCCAGTTTTGTTGTTGGTGTGAGGATGGAGTGTTTTGTGCTTTATGTGGACAGACTTGTGACTTTGAGCAACATAATTAAAGTTGACTTGTTTCAACTGCAGAGCGAAGTGATGCAAATAGGACTTAAACACACTCACACACACTCTGTCTCTCTCCACTTTACATACACACTTTGATCAGCTGAAGGACAATTTAGTGCCGAAACACAGAGTGCTGCCAAATATGCAGAGTAACACACACACACAGTGCTGAGGTAAGCAGTGTGTGTGTGTGTGTGTGTGTGTGTGTGTTTGTGTGCGTGTGCTTCCTGCTTTAATGACGGTTTAAAGTGAATTTCGAGGTAAACTTTATTTTTTAAGATCGTCTGCCACCCGCTCTGCAGCCGAAGCTTCAGAGGAAACGATCAGACTCAGAAACAAAGCTGGCAGAGACACACATTTGTTCCCAAACGTTACACCGTTTTCATTCAGGCGGTGTTGCCAGGAAACAGCCCGGGTCCAAATGCATTACTCTTGTGGCCATACGTTTCACTATCAGCAGAGTTCAGTCTATTTTCTAAGTGCTCCGCCTTTATTAAACTTCACTGTTGCTTCGCCCTGACGAGGCTCCGAGGCGCTCGGAGGAACACACTCTCAGTCCAATCAGGTGGTAGCCTGCTGTGTAAATGAGCGCTGCTTTTTGTCACACTTTGGAGCAACATTGCCAGTTGCCCGCCGGTGTTGCTGATAAATAAGAGCTGCTTCGTGGGGTCGACTGAGGACAGGCGCTGCGCTGGCCTCGGCTGGTTTGGAGTCATCAGGTGGAGAGCAAGTCAGTCCTTCAGGAGGAGCAGGAGTCTTCTCTCTGCTCTTAATCAAAGCTAGACTCTGTTTTTAACTTTCTCAACACTATGATTTGTTGTAGTTAAAATGTTATTCAGTGTCTGTGTGACATTTGGGATTTTAGTCAGGTACGGCTCCAGGGAAGGAACACCAACACTTTGGTTCAGACCAGAATATCTTAACAACTGTTGTGTTGCTATGATGTTTTATTCAGACATTCATGGTCCTCAAAGGATGAACCGTAATAGCTTTGGTGATCCTCCGACTTTCCATCATCATCCTCACTGTGACCTCGTCACATGTCCACGTTTGGTCATGGACTTTCCACGTCCACATATGACGTCCAAGGTACCCTGGGTGTGTTGGTTGTTGACGTTCTGGGACGCCGTGTCAACTTCAGCCTGTTACATGCATTGTCTGTTTTCAAAATACACTTCTGTTTTCACAGGAAATGAACAGTTTGATACAGTCTCTTTCAAAATAAAAGCACTACGTCAGTACAACACCACCAACTGATGTTTTTTCCTTCAACAACACACACGTGGTTACGTTTAGCCAACACACACAAGTTTAGCCAACACACACATTGGGTGGGCTTAGCAAAAAAGTACACTTAGGCTTTACAATCTTACAGGAAGTGAACACTGGCCTCCTGGTTGAAAGACGCTGGTTGTTAGACCCACCCACCCTACTCACTCTACCTCTACCTTAACTTCCATTGTTGTCCCGCCGTGTTTCTCCATGATGCTACCGGGTACCATTAAACAGTAACAGCAGGCAGCTGTGTATCATGCCGACGTTAAAGGATGGCTGTTTTTGTCAGTGTCTGACGCCTGAAGTCGCTGACCGAGCGCTGGTTTTTGACGAGTTTGGAATGAGACTGTGTTGGACTGTTAATCTTGCACCATCGTCAGAGCAACACTTTAATGTGTTCAGTGGTGCATGACCAGATACCTGCAGAACTAATGACTTTCACATCAGCCTCAGCTGGACTCTGTCTTTACTGTTAATTAGTGAATGTTAGCATCAGGAGTGTCAGTGGTTAATCAATCATCAGTTAACAACAAGAAGTTTTTTTTCACAGTTTTAGATGTCTGTCTGTCTTCTGTTTTGCTACCCTTCAGTTTAGTAGCAGTATTAGCGTTACAGCTCTTCCTAACTGGACATGATGCTGACGAGCAAGTTTCCCAGTGATGATGTACGTACCTGCTCTGTGCGTTAGCAAACAGGCTAGGTGACGTGTCGCTTGTTTGAAAAACTTTGCACACCTCCAGCTTGTTTTCAGACCAACAGCAAGCCGTCACCTGGGTTCAATCAGGGCTCCATAGACTCCCTGAATGTAGTGATCACTCATAGTATATCTGACAGTTTTCCAGGCTCCTTCTGCCAGAGTTCACTCGCTCACTGAATGTTAGAAAGTAGTAGCTTATTTCTGTCATTTTCCAACTTATATCAAATATACACAAGGGAAAAAAATGACTAATATTTCCACAGCAACACCATCCTGTGCCATCAGCTAACTCCTGTTCCACTGACGCGCACTGCAGAGCAGCTAACTAACTGTTGTGGACCTGAGGGTGGGCAGGGGGCGCCATGTTTCCACATGTTAATGTGGAGAGCCGGCCGTCTGTCAGCAGAGCAAACACAACTGGTTCCAATCAGCTGAAGTCTTGTTCCTCTGAGCAGAGGCGTAGATCTGAAGGGGGACGCAGAGGACACGTCTCCCTCTATGTTTAGAACATGCACATTTGCCTGCTGATGAAAACATGAAAGCAGCAGAGGACTTCACAAAATAAAAACGTCTCCCCAGCACTGACATGAACCCACACCTCAGCCTCTGAGACATGTTGGACCATGAAAATGTTTCCTCAGTGTGAAAGCTCCACTTGTCTCTGAGCCAGTTTAATTTGATTTGGACATTTGATCTGTTAAACACACCACCTGATTCTGTCTGCAGGAGTTTATGAATATTTCAGAGGATATAATTATATCTGACAGAAACCACATGAAATAATTTCCTCTCTGTGTCTTTCAGTGGTTTGGTGATCTGGTGACTCCAGTGTGGTGGGAGGACGTCTGGTTGAAAGAAGGCTTTGCTCATTTCTTCGAGTACGTTGGCACCGACTTCCTCTTCCCAAAGTGGAACATGGTGAGTAAAGAACTGAAGTTTTATTCATGTGTTCATCATGCTCGTCAATCTTCCTACGCCAAGGTACTCAGAGAGTTTTTGTTTGTTTGTTTTTTTTGGTGGCACGGTGATGCAGTGGTTAGCACTGTTGCCTCATAGTAAGAGGGTTACTGGATTGAGCTCCAGGGTCGGTGGAGTTCACATGTTCTCCCTGTGTGAGTGTGGGTTTCCTACACGTGCTCTGACATGTTCTCACACACGTGTGGTTACGTTTAGCCAACACACACACGTGGTTACGTTTAGCCAACACACACACACACACGTGTGGTTACGTTTAGCCAACACACATGTTTGGTTACGTTTAGCCAACACACACACGTGGTTATGTTTAGCCAACACACACACACGTGGTTACGTTTAGCCAACACACACACGTGGTTACGTTTAGCCAACACACACACGTGGTTACGTTTAGCCAACACACAAACACGGTTACGTTTAGCCGACACACACACACACACACGTGGTTACGTTTAGCCAACACACACACACATGGTTACGTTTAGCCGACACACACACGTGGTTACGTTTAGCCAACACACACACACGTGGTTACGTTTAGCCAACACACACACGTGGTTACGTTTAGCCGACACACACAAGTGGTTACATTTAGCCGACACACACAAGTGGTTACATTTAGCCGACACACACACACGGTTACGTTTAGCCGACACACACACACGTGGTTACGTTTAGCCGACACACACACACGTGGTTACATTTAGCCGACACACACAAGTGGTTACATTTAGCCGACACACACACACGGTTACGTTTAGCCGACACACACACACACGTGGTTATGTTTAGCCAACACACACGTGGTTACGTTTAGGAATAAAGAACAGGGTTTGGCTTTACAATCTCACAGGAAGTGAACACCGGCCTCCTGGGTGAAAATCTGTGGTTGTTGGACCCATCCACCAGCCCTCCCAGCCATACCACTGGGCACTGTAATGGCTGCGTATCATGCCAACAAGGACAGCTCTTTTTGTCTGTGTCTGACGCTGGAACTCAGTAACCAAGTACCAGTGTTCGATGACTTCAGAGTGAGACAGGCTTGATATGAACAATAATTCTGGTGGTGGAGTTGAAGAGTTTCTGCTCAGACATTCTTATATGGGTGGTTCTAGTAGTCCACAGAATGTGAGCTCCCTCAGGTCTGACACATTTTCTTTCTGGACTACATGCGCCAGAAAATCTAATATGTCCTTTGAAATAATGTCGGACATCCAGTCGTCTACTTGCTGAAGCCACTCACATCCCCTGGGCATTAATACCATTAATTCTGCTGCTGCCGCTCCGTCGTTAGCGGCTATAAAACTGCCCCACCAGTCATGTTATTGTTTAATGGTAACTGGCTGCGTATCATGATGTGAGAGGATGGTCTGACGCCAGAAGTCACTGACCAAGCGCCGGAATTTGATGAGTCCAGAGTGAGACCTGGTTGCTGTGATGCCCCCCAGCGGCCCCTAACAGGATAAGCTGTTCCAGAAAATGAATGAATGAATGTTTCCTTTTTTGCTTTTCAAATACTTCTTTAATTATTTGTGTGGGATCTTTTATTCAAGACAAACAGGAAATGTAGCTTTCAGTTCAGCATGTTGAAGCACAGTCAGATATTCCGAGCCTCCGTCTGCTCGCTCATGAAATTTAATTTTTCTGCCCTTCTGATGCGTCAGGTGAGTCAGAATTACAGCTCAAGACTCCAGTTGGTCAGATATGAATTTGATTTTATTTCAGAGTAAAACATTTAAAAGTCTCCAGACACCAAACACAACACAAGCAGAAGACAAAACACCTGATTAAAAAAGAAAACCTACAATCCTGTCAAAGAGATAAGAACGCTCCCACCTGTTCAGGAGCAGAGCCTCTCTGTGTCAATAGGTTTTATTGGTGACGCTCAGGTTTTGGCACAAAATAATTCCCAATGGAAACTGTTGACGCAGGTCTGAGGATTATTCAGTGTAACTGGGACACTTTTTGTGGACCCTTTGAGTAACTTAAACAAACCCCATTCGGCTGCATTGTGTTCGAGGAGGTGGCAGAATAAATCTGGAAACGTCTGTACTGTTAGAGTCCACCACACAGGAGGAGAGAAATCTGTTTTTCTTTCATAATTTGATTCAAGTAATCTTTTTAAAACATATTTATTATTCTGTATTTTTCCTTTTGTGAACAAATTCTACAAAAAGCCCCAAAAACCAACCATGTGTCCGTCCGTCTTTCAGCACTGTCCCACTTCCTGTCTCCTTATTCATTGACTCCTACTGAGGACATAAATCTTTAAAAACGCCTTTCAAATACATACATCAACATATACACAACATTAATAGATTATAGTCTGTGTTAAATAAGATATGAAAAGTGCATTGGTTGAACAGGATATCAATTATTTAATCTATCAGCCTGCTGCTGCTGTGGTGTGGTATAATTTTATTATTCCCAACAAATAAATCCCTAAAAGACCAAAACATACGTGTTAGTGTGTCTCTCAGATCTGAACCCAGAGGAACATCAGCACACCTTATGCTGTAAGGAGAGAAGTCAGCTATCAATCAATCAATCAATCAATCAGTCAATCAGTCAATCAAAATGTATTTATAGAGCGCATTTAAAAAGTGCTTTACAGTCAGACTAAGACACAACAAGAAATAACACACTGCAACAAAGACCACGTGTTACAGAGGAATGCTTCTCTCACACCGAGTTAAAAGCCAAGGAATAAAAATGTGTTTTAAGTCGTGATTTAAAAACAGGTAAGGAGGGGGCCGGCCTAATATGCAGCTAGTTTAGGGGCTGCTACTGCAAAAGCATGGTGTCCCCTGTGCTTCAGCCTCGATCGTGGGACCTCCAGAAGCAACTGGGCAGCAGACCTGAGTGACCTTGAGGGGACATGTTGCTGTAAGAGGTCAGAGAGACAGGGTGGAGCTAGCCCGTTTAGAGATTTGTAGGTAAATAATAACATTTCAAAATCAATTCTAAAACGAATAGGAAGCCAGTGGAGTGAGGCCAATATGGGGGTGATATGCTCACGCTTGTGTGCTCCTGTTAACAGACGAGCTGCAGCATTCTGGACGAGCAGCAGGCGTGAGAGGGAGGCCTGGCTAATACCAACATGAAGGCCATTACAATAGTCAAGCTGACATGAAATAAAAGCATGTGTGACCTTTTCCAAATCTCTAAAAGGTAAGAAGGACTTGACTTTAGATAAAAGCCTCAGCTGGAAGAAGCTGGATTTGACAACCTGAAGTTACCCAATTTTTTTGCAGTAGGTTTTATGTATGGTTCCAGGAAGCCCAAGTCGATATGTGATACATCACAGGCGCCACTGGGTCCAAATAACAAAAGTTCAGTTTTGGCTTCATTGAAGCTTAAAAAGTTCAGGGCCATCCAGGATTTAACATCCTGCAGGCAGTTCAATAGTGGTTTTAGAGAATTAGAATATTTCTGGTTCAAGGGCAGGTAAATGTCAGTGTCATCTGCATAACAATGGAATGACATGCCATACTTCCTAAAAATAGTTCCTAAGGGCAGCAGGTTGAGGCAGAATAGAGCTGGCCCGAGAACAGAACCCTGAGGGACTCCACATGGGAGAGGCGCTGGGGAGGATAGAAAAACTTCTGTCGGACAGACAGGACCTGAACCAGTCCAGAGCAGTACCTCTAATGCCAACGCACTGTTCCAGGCATGAGATGAGCATACTGTGGTGTACAGTATCAAAGGCAGCTGTGAGATCTAAAAGCAAGAGAATGGCAGAGTCCCCAGAATCAGTAGCAAGTCAAAGATAATTAAAACATTTTAAAAGTGCAGTGTCAGTGCTATGAAGGGCTTTAAAACCAGACTGAAATACCTCAAGGATGCCATATGAGTGTAAAGGAGCATGGTTGGAAACATCCAATCACATTGCTTCAAACTGCCATGTATGAGCCACAAACAGGAAGCTGAAGCTAAAGACTCACATTGTAGAGTCCTGATGAAACATTCAGCAGTTTACATCAGCTCATGTTTAGACTCTGCCAGCGTTGGATACCTTTAAGCACCAGACCTGTGGTGCCATTTAAAGATCCACTGACTGCGACGTTCTTGGCCAACTCCGACTTCTAAAAGTCTGATTTGCCAATTCTGATTTTCTTTCTTCCAAAGATCTGTAAGTGATGCTTGGCATGAAACAGTAGAAATGCAAATATGACACCAGAGATGAATCTCATTAAACACCCACAAAATATGAGTGAAAATGAATGTTCATTACTTTTAGAAAACTTAGTTTAAAAACAGCTCGTTTGGGGGCTCAGACCATTTCTCAGGATTGCGAGGGCGTGATCAGATCGTGTTTGATCGACAGCTCAAGTAACATTATGGTTTTATTTTCCCTCTCAAACACTAGTGTCGAAACATTTTTATTTCTTGCTGTGGAGTAAACATCTATCAGATGGACCTGCCTTGTTCAGAAAGCTAACTAGACGAATGTTATTTAATGAAACCTCTCTGAATGTGGTGCTGCTTGTTTTTAGCATTTTCCACATTATTCCAGATTAAATGCGTCTTTATGGTTTGAGTGAACGTCCTTCCTCTGCGGATAAATGAATCCTAAAGATCTGTCTGCAGCTCAGTTTCAACCGTCATGTGTCTCTTTGTTGTATAAAACTTTACATAACTAAATCCATTTGGACACACGGTGTGTGTTTATAAGACCAAAGTTAAAACTGGCTTGTGAGGAGGAGGAAGTCCTGACTCCTCCTGAACTCTTCCACCTTCTTCCACTCGCATGGATCGATATCTGATTCCTCCTTCTGTAAACGTGTTTTCCTGCAGATAATATTCAGCCCGGATCTGCAGCAGGAGAACGCTGCTTTTATTTTATTCTGCTCGTGGTCTGCAAACAAATTGATGCCGAGAGTGAGTCAGCTCAAAACACAATGAAATTAGAAACAAATTCTTTCTCAAATTTGCTGAAA